CTTTCCATCTCCCACTCCTGCTCCCAACATACATACATGTTAGAATATAAATTCTACAAAAGCAGGGACACTTACATGTCTTATCCACTGTACTCTATCTTCCATGCTTAGAACAGTACCTGGCATATGGCAGATGCTCAATAAAAGGTGGCTGAATATCGGTGCACTGGTTAAAAATCTTATTTATGTAAGTTGGCTTGGGAGTGCTCTTACTTCAAAGCAGGGTGAGGCTAGATGCCTCATTGATATTCCTTAGACACCAAGATTCTGTGAGTCTGAATGCTGAGAATCCCACAGAGCCAGCAGCTGCTCTGCATAGATGAGAAAATGAAGTTACCAGGCAGATGGAGTGGGGGAGGGGTGGGAAGATGGGTGAGCAGTAAGTGCATCTCAGAAGATGAAGGGCGCCAGTGTGGGCTAATGCAGTACGACAGGGTGGGAATGTGGAAGGATCATGGCCATGATGATGCCTTTTTCACCAAGACAAAGGGGCCAGTGATGCAGAGTGCAGGGAAGACCAGCATTTGATTCAGTCAAAAGAGGAGTCAGTGCAGTGTGGAGTGGTTGGTCTGAGAAGAGATGGCTAAATCAGGAGCCAGTGTTAAAATTTGGAAACAAACAGCCTCCAAAAGGCAGAACTACTGCTGTGCCTCTAGGTCTTATGGGTTTAGCAGATTTTCAAACCCTGACCAATGTCAGAGGCAGAAGCATAGAGGACACGCTTCTTTAACAAAAGATCTCTCAAAGGAACCCCATCTCTCTTAATCACAGGCTCTCTCCAGACTGCGAAAAATAGCTTTCTGATTGCTCATTCTGCAACCTCCTTGCTGCTTCTTGTTATCTTCAGTAGTTAAAACTGGCTTGAGGCCAGTCCTGTCACATTTTCACTGGAGGACCAGAGTCCCTCTCTCAGTCTACTGGGCCACGACACACAGGCTGCAGTACAGCCAGGCCCACTCTGATCTGCCCTGGCAGAGCCCTGTGAATCCATAGGTCCCACCCAGTCATGAAACGCATTAGACTATATCTTTCATAAAATTACCTTTAAAAGAAATTTAAAGTGTTCCTCCTTCCCACGGGAGAAAACCTGGAATTTTCTGGAATAAGAAATGCCTCAGAATCGAGTCAATATTTCTCTTCCTGTTAAAAAAAAAATTTGTTATTGGGAATCAAAATACCAGGAATTATATTTTTCTGCAACAATACTTTGAACTTTCCCATACAAATTTACTTCTTTGTTAAGGAGGCAATGGTATAATTTTTTTAAATTTAGTCATAACTGCATAACTCACTTAACTAATAGAAGTAAGAGATTCCTAGATAAACTATTTAGCAAATGGGAAGGGGAAGAGATTTCTTCCCTTTTCTAATGAGTGTTGATTGGAATCTGTCAGCAACAAAGATTGAGGGGCAAATGTTTCTTAAAGGAGGGCAGAAAAGGGCAGGAGATGGAGGAATAGTGAAGAAGCTATCTAATTCCACTCTCTATCAGAACTATTTCAAATTTGCTTTGTGAATAACTAGGTGGTGGGCTCAACCAAAGAATGATGGCATTCGCTTGCTTTTACATTATTTTAATACCCGGCCGGAGGAAATTCAACAGATTTAGAAATAGCATCCTGCCTAGATTGTTAAAACCACAACACCTGACACATCCCCTAGATCTGCAAAGATCTTAGGCAAAGTCTCATCAGGCTAGTACAGGTGTAATCTCACTCTAGTGGTTTGACAGCATGATGCAAGATGAACAATAAGGAGAATCGGAATAATAAATCACTGTTACTGGGCGCCCAAACACGGATGAGAAATTTCCCCCATCCTCAGCAGGCTCACTCTCCTGCAGAAGGAATGAACTAGAGGATAGATTCTCAAGCAGACACCTCTAGATGCTCTCTTGCAGGAAGCAGGCACCCTTCAAGGAAAGATCCTCTTTTGGACTCATCAATTTATGCAGCCTGGCAAAAATGGATCAGATGTTGGATCTGGTAAAGGTTACTTCTTCCCTTCATCCTTGAGAGGGAGATGAGGTGGAGGTAGGCTGGGGTTAATTTTTGAAATCATTTATTATCTTGCTTTTGTGGATAACTGCAATGGTACCCTCCTCCTCCCTCATTCCGATCTCCAGGGTCCCTTCCGGAGAACGAAAGGATCTGAAAGCCGAATTTCTTCCCCTCAGCTAAGCCAGCGTCTTCCCTTTCTATCCAGCCGCACACAGCAGCTGGGGCCAGACCATCGCCCCAAGCGTGATGCGGGCGGGCGCAGCAAGGCTCCCAAGCTGCAGCCTCTCCTTTCCCAGATGCCCTGGAGATTTAATGTTAATTAACCGTGAGAGCTATAGCACTGACGACTGAAATTTTCAAAAGACAGCACACTCCCGCTTTCCGTCTGCTTCTATTCTGCCACCCACCCCCGACGACCCTATGGCATCGAAATTAAAAAGAAAAAAACGAACGAGGAGTCTCACCTACACGTGCCAGGGACAGAGGCTGGCAGAGAGAATGCGGAAGGTGAAGAAGCCGCCGCAGGGGAGTGGGCTTTCCCTTGGAGAACCGAGAGCTTCTGCAGATGGCCAGAGCGACGACGAGGCGGAGCCAGGGCGTCTTAGGCCCGCCCATCTCCGAGGTTCTGCCGGCGCTGTATCGGAAGTTGGTCTGTCCTACAGACTATCGGACGCTGTTTGGCCATGGACGCTAGTTTCAAACTCAAGAGCAGCCTGAAGGCCGGCTTGCTGCAGAATCAAGTGGCCATCGTCACGGGAGGAGGCACAGGCATCGGAAAGGCCATCGCGACCGAGCTTCTGCACTTGGGTTGGTGAAGCGGCCCCCTCGGCTGCGAATGCCTGATATGGAATAACTTTATATTTGAATGTTACTCAATACCTTATTCTAAACAAGTTTATCAAATTTTCAAGCTACTCATACAAACAAAAAAGTTTATCCAAATCATCTAGCATAAGAATCAGGAGAAGGATTATATTTAACCGTTTTCTCATGAGATAATATAAGAGCATTGCAATAAATTCAAATAGTATCGAAGTATGTAAAAGAAAAAGAAATAGAGCTTTGTCATTCTGCTCTGCTCTTAAATCCTTTTCCTGGAGATTTTCTGTGAATCTACCCACATGCCCACCTATACACACACACGTGTGTATTTTGTTACTTACAAAACTGGGACCACAGTATTCTTATTGCTCTGTTAACTCCGTTCCATGTGAGTACACATGGTAGTATTTAATTCTTTTCGAAGTTATATAGTATTCCATTGTATGGGTCGCAATAGTTTATTTAACCATTCCTTTAATAGAAATTTAGGTTTCCAGTGTTTTACCCAGCATTGCAGTGGGTTTCCTGGTAATAACTTTGCATCTTGATTCAAGTTTGTATGTAGTGAAAAGCTCTACATACAATTAAAGTAAATAGACTTTCAGAGTTGTGTTTCAGTACAGCTCTACTTGGATCACATAACTTTTCTGAAGCCTTCAGGGTCCAGGTAGGTTTCAGTGATAATTTAGTAAACTTCTAATTAGATAATTCTTGTGAAAAAATGTACTTATATGTCTTATTTGAGGCCTTGGATAAAGTCGGGCGTTAATGACCTTAGTATTCCTGAAGTAGTTTGTTTGTTTGTTTGTTTGTTTCATTTAATGAGGTCCATTTTCTTTTCTTTCCTTTTTCTTTCTTTTTTCCCCCAAAGTTGTCTCCATTTGGAGTTTACTAAATTATAACTTAAATTTGAAAAACAGCATTTTTTTTAAGTATCTTATTTTAATATTCAGAAGCTAACACATCTTATGTAACTAAAATAATTCTGTCCAAATGGAGAGCCATTTTACTCTCTGCCTTTAGTAACTTCATTTATTCTATGTATTACTGCGAAGTAACATAATTATCCTACAGCCTGGGCTTTAAGGCTCTATTAGAGTGAGGACAGAGACACAGGAGTATGTAGAAGGTGCAGCCAGCCTTAGCTTAGTGAGGGAGAGGGAGAAGGGTTATTAATATAGTGGTGATGATCAGTGCAGTTGAATTTAAATCTTCCATATACCTTTAGGCTTCTCAGAAACGGAGGCGCTCTTCCCTTTCTCTGCTTTGAGGCCGCCCTGGCAAACATTTCTGCTTTCTATATTTGTATATGAAAAGAAAGAAGCATTCTTTTTAGGATGAGCAAAGACTTAAAGCAACAATGGGCAATAAGGTTCAGGATTAGTCAGTAAGGTAAATGGATATTCCAAAATCTGGTAGCTTAGTATTTTCACTTAAGGAAAACACTAGGAGCAGTGTCAACATTCCCAAGGGCAGCTATTCCTCTTCCATTAACATTACAATTCCATTAACAGTGGTTCTGTTTTCACTTCCAGTGTTAACTAGTTTTTTTATTTTGTTTTACACTTTTATCTTTCTTAGCCAATCCCTCTTTCAGCCATCCATTTTTGTAAACTGTTACATAAGTTTATCATTGGGAGACAAGGAGGCAACAGGACTGCATGTTTGGCTGTCTGTGCATGTGCGGAAGTATAGATACATGGTGACCAATCACGGGCAGACATTGAAAGAAGTGACATGATTAGTCGATTTGTCGCTGATCAGGGTATGCCTCCATTATGCACATTGTGGACTGAAGAGCTAGCTGTGAAGTTTGTGTTCTATGCAATCACTCACACACAGTTAATATCCCATGGTATCTGAAATTTGAACCATGTAGGTGGGGGACTAGTGTTATTTAACTAAGCTAAGGTAACTGAAATGAGTGTCTGTTAGAGCCGAGCAAAACAAGGTCTTATGTTTCACCCTTCCTTGTGTTTTACCCTTCCTGGCTGTGGTGCTCCTTTTCTCATGAATTTAATTTCTACATGTATTATAAATCCCATAATACATTGTTGTCATTTTTACTTTAAACAATCACTGTTTTTTTAGAGATTTGAATAGAAAGAAGGAAATTCTTTATGTTTAGTAACATAATTACCATTTCTGTTTTTCTTCTGTAGATTTTGATTTTCATCTGGTATCATTGTCCTTCTTGCTTGAAAGACTTTTTTTGATCTTTTTTTGAATGCAGGCCTGCTTTAATGAATTCTTCCAGCTATTATATATGTGAACAAGTCTGGATTCTGCCATCATTTTTGAAAGCTATTTTCACTGGGTCAAGAATTATAGGTGCATAATCCTTGCTACTGCCCCCTTTCCCCAAGTACTTTTAAGACATTTCATTGTCTTCTGGCTTATATTGTTTCTGCAGATAAGTCTTCTGTCCTTTTTTTTTCCCCTCTCTCTTTTGTTCTGTACTTCATGGGCTCTTTTTCTCTGGCTTTTAAAATTTTTCTCTTTATCACTGGCTTATTTAATTATATCATCAGTGTCATTTTGGGGTATGTTTTTATTAATTGACTTTTCTCCTCATTATGGCTTATATTTTCCTACTCCTTTGCATGCCTGGTAGTTTTTCATTGCATGCCAGACATTTGAATTTTACTTTGTTGGTTGCTGGTTCTTTTTATATTCTTATAAATATTCTTGAGCTTTGTTCTGTGATGCAATTAAGTTACTTGGAGACAGATCAATACTTTAAAACAGGCTTACTTTATGTTAAGCATTGACGTGAACAGCCTCTAGTCTAGGGCTAATTTTGCCTCACTTCTGATGCCATACCTTCTGAGTACTTTACCCAATGTACCCAAAGTGAAAAGCTTTTCCTGGTGGGAACACTAACTACTCCCAGTGCTGTGTGAGTACCAGGGTGTGTTCTCTCTGCTCATTTGGGGTCATTTGTTCCCCAGCCTCAGATAGTTTCCTTACTTACATGCTCTGATCAGTGTGCAGCTAAAGATTAGAGGAAATTCTCTGCAGATCTCTGGAGTTGTCTCTCTCCGTGTACCTCTCTTCTCTCTATGCCCTGTGTAATGTGGCCATCTTAGCCTCCCTAGACTTTCAGCTTCATCTCTTCCATTCAGGAGACTGCTGGGCTCTGAATAGGTTCCTCCTCCTTGTGCTGAAGCCAAAAACTCTCTTCAGGAAGCAAGCTGGAATAATCATAGAGCTCACGCCACTTGTTTCCACTCTCTAAGATCACTGCCCAGTGCTACCTGATGTCCAATGCCTGAAAACCGTGGTTTTGTGTATCTTGTCCAGTTTTCTAATTGTTTTGGGCTGTTGGGTAAACTTAGTTCGTGTTACTCCATCTTGACCAGAAGCAGAACTCGCAATTCACCTTTTTTATGGGAACATGTGCAAATTTGCTAAATTATTATTATTATTTGGAATTTGGACAACCAATGAGAGCATATTTACTCGTTCTTTGGCTTTTTTCTCCTCAGGCTGTAATGTGGTCATTGCGTCCCGTAAGTTTGATGTATTAAAATCTGCTGCAGATGAACTGAAGACTCTCTTGCCCCCTACCAGCAAGTCTCAAGTCACTCCCCTACAGTGCAACATCCGCAAAGAAGAGGAGGTAATGCAAATATATCTGTATCATTTACTCATTCACTTTTAATATATAGTAGTGATTCCTAAACCTGACTGTGCTTCAGATTTTCCTATTGTAACCATCTCAGATGAGGTTCACAAGAAGCAGAGCCTGTGAAAGAGATTCTTCTAATGATTTATTGAGTAAGTCACCTCAGGAAAAGGAAAGAAAGGGAAGCAAAATAAATTTAGTTTTATGATCTTGTGGTATTGTGATACTCGGGGTTACCCATTCATGGTAAGAGATTGTAAGCTCGGTTACTCTCCTAGAACAAGACATCAACCCAAGTAGCAAATTAGGTTATTAACCAGTTGGCTTTTAATGTTTTTCTTTAGGTGAATAATTTGGTCAAATCTACCTTAGATATTTATGGCAAGATCGATTTCTTAGTAAACAATGGAGGAGGCCAGTTCTTTTCTCCTGGTGAAAGCATCACTTCAAAGGGATGGCATGCTGTCATTGAAACCAACCTGTCAGGAACCTTCTACCTGTGCAAAGCAGGCAAGTGTGATTTGTTTAAAGGTTACAGACAATACTGAAAGAGGAATTGTTAGGGGCTTAGAAGCTCCATGTCATCGACATTTACTGCCCTAATTTTCCCACGTACAACATAGAAATGTAAATTGCTACATTTCCAAATAGTAATTTGGCAATATTTATAAAGTATGGATGGCTTTTGAATTTGTGATTTTATTTCTAGGAATTTGTCATGAGAAAATTATTAAGGATCTGTACAAAGATATGGCTATAATGTTGTTCATAACATTAAAAAGAACTCTCACATTTAACTTTCTTTTTCTTTAATAAATGAATATGTTAAAGCTGTTATAAGAACCTGTTGATTAATTCAGTCAAATCTTAAGGGAGAATGCCAGAGTCCACATTCTTTCTGACTAACAGCTAATTAGCATGTATGTATAGTCTTTGTATTAAAGGTTATGTTTCATAGGCGGTGACATTAAACTCCTGAAGTTAGGTAATTGAAGTGTTTCCTTACAAACTATCCAAGACATTTTTATGATGCAGAACATAGAACGAGTTTATTCTGACCTAAAGGATCTTCACCCCAACGTGGGTTAGACTTTGTATTCTTAGTATCTCTAAGCCAAAGGTCTTGAAGGCATTCCCAGGCTTCATTGTATCTTTAAAAATATAAAGATCTATATTAGTTGTGATGCAGGATTGGCTGCTCCAGTGTAGAGACCCAGAAAAGACAGTTTAAAGAAGATAATGAAGGGGTTCAGAACAGTCTCTCCAAAATGTGCTGCTTTGGCAGGTGAATTATTTTGAGCTGCAGGCATTTGAGACCTGGCAGGTTCAGGAAAAACATTTGCCCCTCCCTTAACTACCTAGAAGAATTTAAATTGGGGGCCTAGCCCATTCTAAGAGTTATTACCAAAGATACCTTTTTATGACCTACATATAGGGCAAGACAAACATCTAATTACTGAACATATGCTGTTCTTATTCTTCAGAGACCTCCCTCTCCTCTCTAGAGACCCAAGGTACTTTACCTCATCCTTAGCTCAGAGTGGCATATATACTTCATTTTAACTTTTCATCTCAGAACCGCTCAAGTATGTGGAGTCATGACTCTCTCATGTATGTGGGGATTCCATTCGTATGTGTATAATTAAATCTGATTATTTTTTCTAGTTAATTTGTCTCATGCAGATTTTATTATTAGGCTAGCTGAAGAACCTAGAAGGGTAGAAGGAAATTTCTCCCTCCCTAATGCATAAAAGTTCAGGTAGGTAGTTTAGGGATAGTATTGTAGTTCCATAGTCATAAGGACTGTGATATTGTGATTTATAAGTACATCTTCCATCCACGGTTCCTGGCCAACAGCTCCCCAAAGCCTTGGAATTTCTTGATCAATAAGAGCAATGGAAGCATCTTTTGTCATATTTGGTCTCTTGTTCTCAGTTCTTGAAATTGATTCAGAGCCATTAAGGTGAAATGGCTGTCTTGCTATACATAACAGACCCTTATCAACCATAACTGAGTTAATGTTAATGAAGTGACTTTTGGAAATCCCCTAAAGATGGGAGCGGTACTGGTTGCCAGGGAACCAACTATGAATAGAGGGTTAGAACTTTCAGTCCTGCCCCCTAATTTCTGGGGAGGAGAGAGAGGTTGGAAGTTGAATCAGTCACCAATAGCCAATGATTTAATTAACTGTACTTATGTCATGGAGCCTCCATAAAAGCCCAAAAGGATGGGGTTCAGAGAGCTCCCAGGTTTGTGAACCATAACATTTCCACACACCACAATGCTGGGCCCCAAATTCTATGAGGACAGTTAGTTCCTTTGTTCAGAACCTTGTCCTATGTATCTCTCTTCATCTGACTATTGATTCCTATCCTTTATTATTCTTGGTAATAAACTGGTAATGTGGTGAGTAAATTAGTTTCTCGAGTTCTGAGAGCTGCAATAGCCAATTAGTGGAATCCAAGCAGGAGGTCATAGGCACCTCTGATTTATAGCCACTCAGTCAGAAGCACAGGAAACAACAACCTGGACTTATGACTGGCATCTGATGACTATCTCAAATATCTTGAAGAGGTATCCTCGTAATGGCCCTGGAAAAGTGTCAAGGGAGAAACACAAAGATGATTTCAGAGTAAAATATGTAGGAGTTTTTAAGCAGAAGCAAAAAGTCAGTGTAAGGTAATTTGAATAAACTTATTCTTTCTTATGCTAATTATCAAATCATTTTACAAATTTTTAAAATATTTGATGTGGCACAACTGCTTTATTAATTTTCATTTCCAAACCTTTTTTTTTTTTTTTTTGGGCTATTTATAACCATTTATTCTTTCAGATGAATTTTATGTTCTAGTTTCTTTCCCAAAAGTCCTGTTGGGGAATTTAATTGGAATTGTGTTAAACTTTTTAATAATTTGGAAATAAGTAACGTGTTTAAATATTGTCTTCCCATTATGACATGTCTTTTCATTAATTAATTTTTCTTTTATATCTAAACGTTTGTGGTTTTTGTCATGGAGAGCTCATATTTTTTTTATTAAGATTCACCTAGATTTTTTTTATGTCTATTGCTTTTTTGAATGGGCTTTTTCCCCAATAATTTATCAACTAGTTTTGTTGGTTTACAGAAGAATTATTTTTTTAAATTGATCTTGTAGATTTATCAATAGATCATTACTTACCGGTAGTAATTACTTACTGGTTTGTCAAATTAGTCTTTTGGGTTTTCTAGATATATGATAATGTTGTCTGAAGACAACTATTGTATTTCATTGATTCAGAGATACAGTCAATTGTGAAATGCACCATCATTTTATAGACTGTTAAAAAAGTAAAAACAGTACTTTTTGTAATTGTAAGATGCCACCAATTGCAGGACATATTGTAATTTGCAATGTGAAAAAGTTGTCTTTGATTTTAAATATATTATATTTCATGTCTTCTTTTCTAGTGGTTTTACTCCTTTTTTCTGTCATATATTAAGAATTGGTAAGAATTCCCAGTAAAGCATTAAGTATTAGTGGGGAGGCATCCTTATTTTTGCTTAAGTTTCTAATAGGAATTATATTGAATTGATCTCAGGTCTTTAATTAATCTAATACTCTAAAAATTAGATTTCTGTTGAAGTGAGTCCTGAGGTACATCTGTAGCCTTGTCTTGACTTGTATGAATAGAATGGATGCCTATATGTCAAATCGGACTTGAAAAATGATGCAATATTAAAGAATGAAGTTAACAAAAAAGTTTAAGACTAATTTGCTAAAAACTACAAAACATTACTAAGAGAAATGAAAGAAGATCTGAATAAATAAAAAGACATTCTGTGTTTATGAATTGAAAGGCCCAATATGTTGAGATGGCAGTTCTTCCCAAATTGATAGGTTCAATTTGTAGATTCAATGCAATCTCTATCATTTTTGTGGGTGTGTGTGTGTGAAAATTGACAAGCTGGTCCTAAAATGTATATGGAAATGCAAAGAACCCAGAATAGTCAAAACAATTTTACAAAAGTAGAAAATTGGAGGATTGATTCCTCTTGATTTCAAAGCTACTTCTTGATTTGAAAAAAAAAACTGTGATCCTGGCATAAGGATAGATGTATAGGTAAATGGAACAGAATTGAGAGTCCAGAAATAAGCCCTTATATTTATGGTCAATTGATATCTGTCAAAGGTGCCAATGCAATTCTATGGGAAATAATACTGTGGCAGTTGGATATCTACATGCCAAAAGACACTTACCTCTCAGCATAAATGAAAGTTAACCAAAAGTTCAAAATGGATCATGGACCTAGATGCAAAAAGTAAAATTCTAAAACTTTTAGAAGCAAACAAGGAAGAAAATCTTTCCGACCTTGGGTTAGGTAGAGTCCTAAGATACACTGCCAAAAATACCACTTATAAAATATAAAATTGATACACTGGACTTAAAATTAAACATGTTTGTACTTCAAAAGACACCGTTAAGAAAATGAAAAGATAAGCCACGGACTGGGAGAAAAGATATTCAAATCACATATCTGAAAAAGCACTCGTATCTAGAACATGCAAAGAACTTTTACAATTCAAAAATAAGAAAACAACCCGATTAAAAAATGAGCAAAAGATTTGAGTAGATTTCAGCAAAGAAGATATGTGAATGGCTAATAAGCTCATCAGAAGATGCTCAGCACCATTAGTCATTAGTCATCACCTGCAAATCAAAACTTTCACGAGATATCACTTTACATCCACTAGAATGGCTATAATCAAAAAGCCAGACAGTAATAGTGTGGAGAAACTGGAATCCTCATGCATTTTTGGAGGAATGTCAAATTGTGGAGACACTTTGGAAAGTAATTTGGCAGTTTTCTGAAAAGCTAAACCTAGACCCTGCATACTGCCCATAGATATATACCCAAGAGAAATAAAAACATGTTTCTACATAAAGACTTGTGTTCATATCACCCCCCAAAGTGGAAACTATCTAAATGTTCATCTGCTGGTGAATGGTTAAATAAAAAGTGGCAATCCATACAATGGAATACCATTCAGCAATAAAAAGTAACTATTGATACATGTCACAGTACAGGCCAATCTCACAAACGTTCCAAGAAGCCAGACAGAAAAGACCACATATTGTGTGATTCTGTTTATGTGAAATGTTTAGAAGAGGCAAATCTGTAGAAACAAAGTAAATGAATGTTTGCCGGAGGATGAGTTGTGCTGCAAATAGGCACAAAGGAACTTTTTGGGATAATGGAAATGTTCTGAAACTGGATTGTGGTGATAGTAACAGGTCTGTATATCTATTAAAAATCATTAAATTATGCACTAAGTGAGTGAAATTTATGATATGTGAAGTGTACCTCAATCAGGCTTTTGTAAATTAAATTTGGTAAATGTAAATTAAAATTTAAAATATATCAAATAAAAAGCATGCTGGAGCAGGATCAGAGAAGGGTTGGGACAGTATTTAATATAATTTTCATTTATCTGTTTTCTGCAGTTTACAACTCCTGGATGAAAAAGCATGGAGGATCTATTGTCAATATTACTATGCTTACTAAAAATGGATTTCCAGGATTTGCGTAAGCATTTTTATATATTTTTTCCTATGTGTCAAAGGTTCAGAAATAGCCAAAGTAAAACCAGTATATCAGTGAAGTAGTATTTAGTATCAATTATTGTGCATACATCAAAAAGATAGTTTGTGGACCAGGAGCACTCAAGCGAAAACATGGAATAAGGCTCAGAGGTATATTGTTATCAAGCAGCTTATCTGGTGAGACAACAGTGACTAGTCTTCACAGCGATTGTTTACAGTTTTTGATTTTTCAATAGTTACCTCATATACACCTTGGGAGACAGTTAAGCTTGCCTATGATTTCCAGAGGCAAAAGCAAGAAATGATTCAGTCAGGTTAGCTTTGCAAAACAAACTAAGTAAAGCTTTGTTTCTATAACTTAACCGGTTTTGTCTGCTCAGGGGGACTATTCAAGGCTGGTTTCCCTTTGCTTTTGATATTAACAATTGTCTTTGGATTTTGTCCTCTGAATACGGAGAGTCGGGAAGGGAAATTTTCTTAAAGGACTAATTTTATTACTCCTTTAATGAGTTATGATCTCAATATTTAACGTTTCCCTTTATTTGGACTTTAAAAATGTACTTCTGAAATTCTCATTCATATTAGGGGTGGCAGATTTACCAAGAAAAGAAAAACAAGCAAACAGGATGCCTTATTTAATACTCTTTTAATTACAAATATGTCCCAACTATTGATGGGGCATACTTATGGTAAAAAAAATTTTTGTGGTTTATCTTAAATTTGAATTTAGTTGAATGTCCTATATTTTATCCGCTGAGAACCTTGTCGATGTTTCTAAATTGGTCCCTATTGTTTAGAAACCTCTGTGAAGGAGTGGAATGAAACTAACCTAATCTTCAAATTTAGATTTGAATATCATGAATATACTTATTTAATTTTAGGCATAACTGCTAAATTGTTACTTAATAATGAAATTTGACATATTTGACTCTTATTCCGATTATGTTAAATTTTTACATTGCAAACCGATTTTTTTTAAAGGAAAGAAATCAAAGAACTAATGAAACTGAATCGGTAAATTTTTCATAATTATCCAAAAGGCCTTCCAGGTAGAAAAACAATGTGCCAAGGAGCTACTTGAAAACCACATGTACAACAGTTAAAAAATCTGGTTTAAGAAGTTTAGTTTTGCTCATTCCTTTAGTATCTTTTATAAGTTCTGATTCCTTTTATTTTTAAATAATTTTTTTTTTTTTATTTTCCATCATGGAATCTTTATTTCTTTGAAATGAACCTATCTCGGTGTTATAAAAACAATGCATGCTAGTTTTTATAGATATAAAAAACTGTATAAGGTAGAAAGTCAAACCCTCTAAACCCTCTCATCCCAAAAATAACCCATTAACTAATTAAAATCATGATCTTAATTTCTGTATAATTATTAAGTAATCTTTAATCTGCAGGGTGATATTTTGGCACTGTGTAAATATTCTCTTTGACGTTATGATTTTAGCAACCATTGCTGATTCTTACCTGAATCATTGAAGGTATGAAAATGTTGATTTTTCTGATTTCATAATTAATTCTATATTTTTTAGCTGATATTCTTCCATAAAAAGATTTTTTTGCCACAACTATCCCTTCTCTCTCTTTATATATATATGTGTTTATTAATGTTATCATCATTATTAATAATTTTTTTTGGTATACCACTATGAACTTATGGATTTCCTTTCAAATTCATTGTTTCAAATATATAGATTGTCTCAAATTTAATAGAAATTTGTATTGTTTCTACATTTGGGTATTACAGATAATTCTGTAATGAATGACATTGTATATATTTAATTCATATTTGCGGAGGTATATCTTCAGTTGGGTTGCCGAGTGAAGGGTAAATGGATACCGTTAGGTTTCCAAATTTTTTTCCATTTTGCACTCCCATCAACAATATATGAGAGTGCCAGTTCTCCACAACCTTATCCAAATTGGGTATTTCAACTTCTGGACAACTGTGATGAGCATCTCCTCAGTTGTTGAAGGGCTGTCTGGATATCTTTTTGTGTGTAGTTGAACTGTATTGCTGTCTTGGCACATTTTTCTATGGAGGTTCTAATAATTTTCTTCTTAATTTCATCTAAGTCTAGTCTGTTTTTCCATTGTGCAAAGAAGTTTAGACTGATTATATTGTTTATATTTTATCTTTTAAAGGCACAGCGCAGCTGCCAGAGAAGGTGTTTACAATCTCACCAAAACCTTAGCCTTGGAATGGGCCAGCAATGGAGTAAGGATCAACAGCATTGCTCCTGTAAGTAGATGTTCTGTTTGAAAGCTGTTGACAGATTGTGTTCTTCTGATTATTGTGTGTTGTCGATAGAGGTATTTGTTAATATGTATGTATACTAGAAAAGATTGGCTTTTAAAAATAGATAAAATTAGGAAAAGCCTTCTTTGATTTATAAGTATTGTTCGATTTGATTGTCAAGGTTAAATTAAGGCAGTGATTCTTGTATATTATTAGAATTATCAGTGAAATATTTTTAAAATAGTGATTATATATATAATATTTTTAAAATAGTGATATATATATATATAATATCATTGGTATGTTATAATTGGTATGTTAGTGTTATAAGTACATTATTAAACTCGTATATGTTCTTCTGAGACATTTTTAAGTTTAGTGTCTAAACCTTTATACTTCTAGAATATTCCTTCTCTTTGAATGAAAGATTATAAATTAATTAGAAATCAGTATGTCACCCCAGTATCATTTAGAATAAACAATACTGCTAAATTTCTTCATCTTACTTTTATGCCTCCTGTTTCTTTGCCTCCTCCCCATAACCTCTTATAGTTTGAGGCCAAAACAAATAACTTTATCCTGTGTTACAGAGTTTATAAAGTCATTTTCTTGGCTTTATAAACCCTCGAAAGCTAGTGAAAGCAATATAAAAGAATTCCTAAACAATTAAAATTTTAGCTTATTTATATTGTATTCAAATGTTTTATTTGTGATTTCACTCTAGGCGAAAAGCCATGACAATATTGCATTTTCTAAGCCTCACATAACCATAATCCAGTCTTATATTGTAAAAGAGAGAAGCTTGGTGGAGGATAAAATAGACTTCCCTGTCCCATTGCTCCCAGCTAAGTGGCTCACTCATCTACTCGTGTAATTATGCTTTCAGAAACCAAGACTTTTATGAAAAAATCCAGGGTGTGACTGGTTATTAAGGAAGGGGAAGCCACAAAATGAGCATCCAGATAATCCATTCATAACAGCAATATTTCTTTGACAGTACTGAGAAAAATTACTATTAGAAATCTTAACTTTTCTATTAAACTTAAACCACTTAATTTTTGGTATGGGTCGATAGACTGCCTTGATGTCTTTACAATTAAATTTTAATTTTACATGCTTTATTTTGTTCCTGTTTTATTTTTAAATATAGGGAGTTATTTATTCCCAGACTGCTTTTGACAACTATGGTTATTTGGCAGAAGACCTTTTCAGAAAACACTTGCAGAGAATCCCAGCTAAAAGATTTGGAGTTCCTGAGGAGGTAATGTGTATTTCTAACACTGATTAGAATTACTTTGGTTTGTACTTGGGAAATGTGTAACATTTTAGTGTCCTTTTTATGTAGTATGATTGGCCGATAGAGATGATCACTTCCCCTGTCATCAAATCATTTCCGTGGGCTTTCTGGCTCTTGGGGAGTATCCTGTGCTTTGAATACTCACAGAGGTCCTTATTCAGAAGGGAATGCAGTGTGAATTAAGAAAAGCATATTCTTTAATACTCAAAAATTGGCAGACTTTTAAAGATTATTCGCAGTGTGGAACCTGAAACCATGCCAGTGAACTTTTTGTATTCTGTTACATGAAAATCTATTGATCTTTCTTGCACTTTGTCTGGGTGTTTCACCTGCGGATGATTTCGTAACACCAGACCATTGGTCTTTTGGGAAATATTGGTTCACTGAATTATGCAGATCTTCTAAATGTTGACACACAATTCTATTCTAAGTGTTGACATTCGGTATCCCAAGATCACGTTTCGTAACATCACCACCTATCTCCTCAGAAAAATCTTTAAATATTAGGAAATTGTCAAGCTCATGATGACAAGTGCAAGTTTTCCAAAATTCTGATTTTCACTTGAAAGTTCAAATGTTATCATTGACAACAAATACTTTCATTGTTTCTCTTCGAAGTGCCAGTCTCACTGTACTCATTTTTGAAAAATGTCTGCCCAACATCCAAGTATGAATAACTGTACTTTGTTAGTCATTCTTCCAAGTAAAAAACAGTGTTTCACAGAAAAAGTGACTAGTTCCATTTGGAACTCAACCATTCTACTTCTATATGTAGCAGATGTGCTTAATGTGTAATTCCTATTTCATCATGCTGGATATTAAAAAGATGTAGATGATATGGTCAAGATTAATACAATTAATAAGTTTTACTGCTTCATCGAGGACATTCTAAAGTGAAACAGGCTTTCTCCCCACAATAAGTATTGGACAGTAAAGAATAAAACGACTACTAGTATAAAGAGATCACTTGCTCAATTTTGTGTTCCTGCCATGATTTGTGCTGAGGCTCTAACAGTCTTTCCCACCATTGCTTTGGCACCATTAGTACAGATATCAACAAAGTGGGGGGAAAAACCAAACAAATAAGGACTTAGTATTATTCTGAAACAAATTTTGACTTTGCAAATCTCCTGAAAAGGTCTTAGGTATACCCAGCGTTTTGCTGATCATGCTTTGACCAATAATGTAGGTAATACCTTCAAGAAGTTTGGTTGTGCAGGGAAGCAGAGATGATGGTAGCTGCCATGAGATGCAGCATAAGGAGAGAGTTTCAGCTTGTCTGATCAGGTGCTAGTAACCCTACGTCATGTTTTCGAGATACTTCTGATTGCCCAGCCAATCATCAGTGTCCCATTCGGGGCAGAACTTTCATACCGGACCATGAACCCAACTCTTTATCAGTGAGTTGCCTTCTTTTAGGAGAGTCAGAATGTAGCTATAGTTTTAAAAGGACCTGCCTTGACCCTCCCATGGGTTCCATCAATATCTCTTAGAAAGGGATATTACAGCACATGACAGACCCTTCCATTGGCTTATAAGATCCTGCACACTCATTTTTACAAATTAAGAAACTAAGGACCAATGAGCTTCTGTAATTTGTCTAAGGCCATATATAGGTCATGGTACTGGGGTACAAACCCAAGCGTATTTAAAATCCTCATTATTGTTCATAAACAAAGCTGAAAGTAAACAGGTAACTAACTAAGCTAAAAGAGGTGTTACCCACATAAAGTGAGTACAAGTTACTAGTCTCTAATAGGCATTATTGATTGAGAAAGCTCTTGTGAATGACTTAGTACTTTAAGCCCATCCATCAAATGGATTCCATTCAAATGAATGTTACGAATACCTCTGAAGATATTACAATAACACTCAGTTAATTTGGTCATTTGATATCAAAATTGTATCAGTTCAGTTTAGCTCCATGTTGAGCTCCAAAAGTAAATCAGACATTGAATAGTTATATGTCTTTTACCTAGCAGATAGCTTTAATTCAGTGTTATTGAGTAATGCCTAGTGTATAGGCAATCACTGTAGTAGGAGCTGGGCAATGCAGCATCCCTTCATTTGAGGGGGAAAGATGCATACAGATTCTTTCATTCTGTTTACATTTATTAAGTGCTTATTTTATGCTAAACACCATCAAAGGATGGGCGCCACCACCCAATATTTGAAAACAAAATTCAGCATAAAGCCACATTTATTGCTGGTCAGGCACAGTCTCTCTGAGCAGACTATGGATCTTTTGCTTTTTCTTGGGGGGAAATGTGGTTTCAGGGATTTGAAGACTTACAAAGCTCATGGTTACCTGGGTGAGCTGGTTGTTCTTTGGCTGGATTTAGAAAGGAGCTTATTGGAGTGAGGGTTCCTAACTGGCTAACTTTCAGAATCGAGGCGCTTTCATCATTTAGTAAGCTAACAAAACATGTTGACAGGAAGAGTTGTCAATGATAAAACAGGGTAAACTAGTCTGATGGTTAACTCGTTGCTGTGGCTCATGTTTCTCTACCCTTTCCCAAAAATATAAGAATTTGTAAATTAATTCTATGCCAGCTCTGTGTAATAGTCACAAATGCAATTTTAGGCTTCCAAGTAGCCACATTAAGAAAAGTTTAAAAGAAGTGAACTTGGTCTTCATAATATATTTCATTTAACCCAATATATTCAGAACATCATCATTTTAACATGTAATCAATATACAAAACTATTAATTAACTGTTTTACATTCTTTTCATATTGAGTCTTCAAAATCTGGTTTGTGTTTTATACTTATAGTACATATGGAAAGTGTTTTGGTAGCGCCATATGGCCAGTGGCCTCTGTTTTAGACCATGCGGTTCTATCCTAGCTGCTGGGAACTCAAGGATAGAGAGAATGCTATGCCTGCCCTCTAGGGTCTCAGAATCTCAAAGAGGAATAGCGTGTAAACAAACATGGTTACAGGGCTATGTAGAGGACCAGGACTAGGGTGGGGCAAGCAGGCCATGGACATAAAATTTAAGGACACACTCGCTCTTAGGGTTGTGCAAGTATAAAGTCTGCTCAAGAGTGAGTGCCTCCTTAAATACTGTACCCTGAGCCCCTCCCTCATTAGTCTCTCCCTAGTCCCAGCCCTGCTTGGGAGCCTGATAAAATGGCAGATTCTGGGGCTCTGAGTTTACAATTCAGAAGCTTTCTGGTAGGATCTAGGAATCTGGAGTTTCAATAAGCATCTCTAAGAATTCCAAGGCAGGTGTTTAGGATCACTCTTTGAGAAACTCGACCTGTGCCAACAGCCTCACATGAGAGTTCCCTTACATCCAGTGAAATAATTTCTCTTGTTCACTGTGGTTTGGGGAGTAGATGTTGCTGAACTCATCCATGAACTGTCTTTTTAGGGGATGCAGGGGGATTCTGAAGTCCCTCTTGCAGAAAGCTCCTGTCGTCTGAGTCGCCGGGCTTTCAGCTTGCAGGACCATAGACTGAACAAACTTAATGGCATTTTATTGTTCTACAGACACATTGGCTATCTCGGGGACATGAATATAAAAGGCACATGGCGGCAGTGAGAAGTGGGTTGTGGTTGGGCAGTGAAAGGTGTGGAAGGAACTGAGTTGTTTGAAATGGGAAAGAGCCAAGATTAAGCACTGTGTTCACTTTGGCTTCTTCACATTGTGTGGCTTATGTGACACTCTCAAAGGCTCCATCCTATCTTGCCATCATCTTCGCCCTTATCTCTTACTGATTTTCATGATGCTCAAATAGAAAAAGGCAGTCGTCTCTGTACTATCAGATTATGGTACACACACACTGTAGGATTCATGTTATAGCCACGTGCTCTGAGATGTGTTTATTCAAGAATAGGGAGCAACCCCAAATGGTGTGTATCTGCTTTTCTGTGTGCATGTGTGTGCTTCCATTTCCAGGTCTCCTCCTTGGTATGCTTCCTGCTCTCTCCAGCAGCTTCCTATATCACCGGACAATTGGTAGAGGTCGACGGAGGCCTATCTCTGTATGGTCCTGTATGTGAGATACCAGGTGAGCAGTCAAGAAATGAGTAGTCACTAACAGTATGCCTTTCCATGTCACATTTTCAAAACGTCTTGAGTAGTTACTTAAGAGATACAAGTTTTCTCTTATAGAGCATCATAATGTGCAAAATGTTTATATTCATGATATGATTTTTAAAGGAAATGTTTTTAGTCACAGACAATACCTAAGTATCTTTACTATAGAACTTAGCTTTATATATTTAAAAAAATTTTTGTAGTTTGAATGTAGTTTGGTAGAACTTGAACCATGAAAAATATTTCAATATGAATATTTATATACAGGAGGAGATATATAATAAGAAGAAGTTGCCATGTTTTTTAGATTTAATTCCTTTTTAGATTTAATTCCTCTTTGTTCCTCCAATAAACAGCTTGTATATCTGAGCAGAAGAGGGTTTGGTGGAAAATAGGAGGACTTCTGAGGTTAATAGATTTGCGATTAACTTGAAGTTTTGTGCTTAACAGATCATGACAACTGGCCCGAGGGACCAGGTGACCTTTCTGTTGTCAAAAGGACGAAGATGTCTTTAATGCCTAAAACCGAAAAACCGAGCTCTGAACTAGGGGAAGAAGGAGGTGTCCTATGTCCCCAAATGCCTTAACGTCTCAAGAATGCACTTCTGTACCTTATAGGAGCTTATAGTTTATATGGAAAAAATACTTTCTGCATTTTAAATGTTATCAATTGTGTCTATGCAAAAACTATTCCTGAAATAAATGCATTTTTAAAGTCCAAACCAATGCCCTTTAGCCTTTGATTTAAAGGAAATTTTTTAAGAATGGAAATTAACATCCTTTATGATTATACTTTTTATTTCTAAGAAAGGTATTTGAAAAATGAAATAATTTCAAATTAATAATAGAGGTATCATGATCTCCCAAAAGGTTGTAATATGTAATTATAAAGGTAGGCAATAAATCTAATTGTGGCATCATTATGATTCTGACAGCTAGAGTTATACAGTGACTCATTTTACCTGGCAAGTATTTTTGTATCAATAAAGCTTTATGGTAATTATCTATGTGTGTTTTGTTTTATTCATGAAGTCAAATTTATATAAACTCTCTTAATTTAAAAGAGAAGTAAAGTTATGTATAGATTTTTTTGCAGTGCTTGATTTATGTCTTGATTTTTTACCCAGAGTATTTCCTTTTCCCCATGTTTTTCCTTTTGTATGCAAAAAATTTTTGAATTACATTGTGTGTGGATGTACTAGGGTTCAGTATTTTGCCTTCAATTGATCCTTTCTGGCAGTTATCCTGATTTCTGAAATGCCATTTACAAATTACGAGTGTTTGTTTTTTGACTTAATTAAACCTCTTTCAATGGGCATATTCCCTCTTTAAACATAGTAGATATTTCCTTTTTTTTAAAATCAGAAACTCTCAGTTCAGGTACCTGTGTATGATTTACCAAGCTCTAGGTGGGTCCCCTGAATCTGCCATTTTATCAGGCTCCCAAGCAGGGCCAGGACTAGGATGAGACTAATGAGATGCCTAGAGTGCAGAGTTCAAGGAGGTGCTCACGTTCGGGTTTGCACAAGTGCCCAGCCACTGTGATTTTGTGTCCGTGCTATTAATGTGAAAAGAATAGAAATCTTTTCTTCCTAGACAACATTTTAGCAGTGGCCTCTGGACATGATGCTGTCATAGTTAACTTAGAATTACAAGCCATATTGGAGGACAAGGTGGCCCTGGCACAGGAAGAGGCAGGGCTTGCCTTTCAAATTACCTCACGTTGATGACTGCTAAGGACCACTTCAATCCCTATAGTGTTGACATTTATTTCTGCTGAAAGCACAGAGCCTGTTCTACATAGCTCTACACTTAGCTACAACTTCTTATTAGATCTTATTAGGCCATCACTGGATTGCTGATCATTATGAATATTCTAGAATCATAAGTCTACTCTCCAAGACTTCTAAATGTGTCATAATAGTGTCCCATCAGTAACGTTCTTATGCTACTAACTCTTAGTAATTTTTGCTGTAGACTGGATGTTTCTGAATAGGTTTACTCATTCACTCAGTTAATAGTTTGAAGCTATTGCTGTGTGGTCAGCATTATGGTAGGAGCTGGGCATATGGTAGGAGCAGTACTAAAAAAAAGAATACACATAGACCTTGGCCCATAGAGTGTATGAGAGTGGGGCGGGGTGGGGGAGGGGGAGGAGGGAGAGAGAGAACCATTAGTGAAGCCACACAAATAAATTGAAAATTCCCAAATGTTCCAAGGGTTATAGAGGATAAGGTCGTGGTGCTACAGGCATATAACAGGAAGAAAATGGCATCTAGGAAAACAGAAACAATTCTGTGATTATTCATGTAATAGAGTTTGTTGATAAAGAGGCCCCTTGCGGATGTTATCCCTCCCACACTCACTGCTCTTTTGGTTCCTGGCTGTATCAATTCAAGTCCTCTGAGAAACAGATACCAGGCTGTGCCTAAGACTTATTGTGGAATATGCCTTGGAGGTTAAAGAGCAAGGAGCCCAAGAAGGCAGTGATAGTGTTCACTGTGACGCAAGTCTGACACTTGTAGAAGAGAAAGAGAGGAGTGGGCAGGAAACATCTCAGATTGCAGCGAAGCGATACCCTTTTCAAGTTAGGGTTGCTGCTTGTGTGTATTCAGTCACTGTGGGGCAAGGGGGTGCCAGGAGACACTCAGTGGATCACCTGGGTTCCTCTTGTGCTCCTCCCTGTTCCCAGTGTATAAAAGTAGCTCTGATGACTCCTGCTGGTGGTGATGACTCCTTTTCTCACCAGCTAGTGCCTGGACACAGGGAGTTCAAATACCCTGGGATCAGCCATAGTTTGTAGTTCATTGGGACCTTGCTGGGTCCCCTGGCAATAGTTGTTCCCTTTGGGACCAGGACCTTCCATGCTGCAGGGCCTAGAATTGCAGGAGTGAGAAGCACAAAGTCCTTCAGTGGATCTCTAGGAGTGAGGGTAAGTAGGGCCACTCCCTCTTCTGCTTATTGGTTCCCAGACATGTTCCCAAAGCCACTGGGGATACACATTCTGAAAGATGGTACTTCATCCTTTCAGAGGGTCACTGGCACTTCCTTTGTGAGCCTGGCTGCTTCTGGAAGTGTGGTGTGTGATAAATCAGTGGTTCCATGATCAGGGACCCACCCTTGCATCTCTTTTACTGAGAAGTGGGTCACCTGGTTGGGTGCTGTCGCATGGATTTCATGCCTACGGATTAGGCTTTGTTTAAGCCCCCAGAGAGTGGTGGCATCTGAGTCCTGTGAGCAGGAAAACTCTTACTTGGCATGGATATCTGTCACTGTGAGGAGTGACATAGATGCCACACAGTCATTTTGAACAGAGAAAGTTTAATACATAGAATTATAAGTTACAACGGGGGATTGGAGCAATGAGGGATTGGCTAGTAGAAAGTAAAGAAAACTTTAAAGAATATGGGCATAGCAGAGATAAGGAGCACCTACCGATCTACTGCTAAGGCTGAGATGAACCCACCCCCCTCTCCAACCCCAGGCTGACACCCGTACCTTGTTGGGAGGGCATAGCCTGGCTCACTTGATGGCAGAACCATCATTAATGGGGCTATGCTGGTAGAACTTGCCTGAAATCTGCTCTCTAGAAACTGTGCACGGCAGGCGTCTCACCACAGGCCTCTGCCAGAAAACTGCCTGAAGGAGATGCCAAGGGAAGCTGCTGGCCACTTTGCACCACCAGGTTGGGCGGGCAGCCTGCAGAGCTGGAGTCTGGAAACAACCCTTTACCTCCTGCCGTGTCTCTCCATCGCCCTCTACTGACAAAGCTTCAGTGTCATCTGGTAAAAGAAAAACCATTTCAAGGGCCCAGAACCATTTTCACAGAGCTGAGAAGCAATAAATCTATAACCGGCCCACTCAGACTTGCCATCAAGCAGCAGCCTGTCACTCTCCTCAAGGCACAAGGCCATATCTTGGCTCGGCGTTGTTCTCTGCGTAGATAGGTTGAGCATTTAGAGGCAGCTCCAACTATATCAGCTTTGGTAAAGTGGGAGTCTGCGCTGTTGGGCCCTTTTGTAGTTTTCCTCCATTCGTGTGCCATTTCTGCAATGGCAGATGACGAAGGCCAGAGAACAGCAACAATCTTGTCTGCATGGTGTTCTGTGCCTCTTCCACAATGATGCTTTTCTGGGGGGTATTAATGTGTGAGACAAAAATAACACTTTTCGCCCACTTCCCAGTGTTTATCCACATGCCTCTGGCCCAGACCCCCTGGTTTCCAACCATTCAGTCCTTTCCTTTTCAGGTTCCTGGCCAAATAACCAGGCTGTGTCCCTCTGTTCAGAAATCTGTATTCCCACTTTCAGCTATTTTTTTCCAGCATGAATACAAGTTACACTGCCTACAGATAGCCTATTAGAAAGCTTTGCCCTCCCCACTGTCTTACAGGGCCACCCTTGAATGCAGCTGTGATGAAGTTCTGACAACTGTGAAAGAGAGAGGGGACGAAGAATCTCAGGCTGCAGCACAGGCCAAGAAAGGGTTGAGCAGGCTGATGGAGAGTCCCTGAGCCAGTCATCCCTTTGTGCAGCCCTACGGCTCAGGAATCAGCCTGAATTAACAGCCTGGCTGTGTTTGGTCCTTGGCTGGGAGCATCCCGAGGGCAAATGCACTGGAGGATCCAGAGCTGTCGGTCAATCAGCTATGTTCCTCATAGCAAAGATCTAAGTGGCGCGTTTAAAGGCTGCCACATGCTGTATCTTGTACTTGTTTTGGCCCCATTTATTTTTAACACTATGTGGGGGCTTGGCTCAAAAAAGGGTCACCTATGATTAATCATGAAACACCAGCCTGTCTGGGCAGTACCTTCTTGGAATTCCAAGACCAGTCTGCAAAGCTTCAACTTGACCTTTAGTTTCTTCTCTTGGTGTTTCTTCTGCACGCCTTGTTTACAAGGTTTCACTTCACTGAAGTAGCTGCCTCTTGAAATAAGATCAACTAGCAAGAAGGTTCAAAACCTTATTCAAAAAAGGTGTGTTAGCTCAAAAGCTAGGGATTATCTAGCTCTTGTTTTAAGACAGTTACATAAAGGGATACTAACTTCCCAGTTATCTAAAGGAATATTTTGAATCTTCTCTTGTGGACAGTGCTATTTATGATTTGTATGGTGACCAAGGCGCTCTGTTAGTTAGTGTTAGCTTTCATCCACCATGTAGAGTGAGAGGCATATGTGTATTCTGCCTAGTGGGAATCTGCCTGTGGGCACCTGACAAATCCTGATGCATTCTTGGGGGTCTTCTCACTCCCCCCATCTTGCAAGCTGCCCCACCTGTTCCCATCTGTAGCCTCCAAACTTGCTTTCTTTGAAGTTGTCAATTTCCTAAAAGGAAACACCTTGAAAACCCCTTCTGATTGGGCCACTTCGCAGAGGTGACCAAAAACTTTTCTGCATCCTGTCCCCCTGCTTATTTTGCCCTTTCCTGTCCATTCCTGCAGATCTCTTGGTGGGCTCTTTCCATGAGTTATAGATTTTAGAGTCTGCTTTCTGGGTTCAAACCCCAGCTTCTACCACTTACTCACTTTTGTGACAGCATTGAGACAACTGAGGAATTTAAATATGGATTCGGTATGGGTAGATAACATTAAAGAATTACTGGTTATTTTGTTAGATGTGATAATGGCATGATGGTTATTTTTTTAAAAAAAACTGTGCTTACCTATTAGGGAAGAAATGTTGGTATTTTGGATTTGCTTAAAATATTCCAGTTTAAGAAACAAAAGGAGGAGGAAAGCAAGTGAACCGAGATTGGAAGCATGGTGGCAGTTGTTTATGTAGGTAACAGATACATTATATGTTTTATGGTTAATTTTACTAGTCTTTCTATCTTTGGGTAAGTTTGGCAATTCCCCAAATAAAAAAATTGTAAAATAAAAATAGTTTCATTAATTACTTGGTTAGAGGGCAACCTGGGAGTTAGTTGTTTATATACAAGGCTTATTTGGGAGAAACAGGAGTGAGTTTGCATCAGACATCCAGTGGTTTATGGGGGCACATCAGTGTG